TCGTTAGGACGTGTTGTCAGATTGGGGTGGGGGGATGGGGGTCCTCCGAAGGAGAGCATGCCCTCCTCCATCTTCACACTGATTGGTGTCACACTGCCTACCACCCATCTGAGGGGCAAAGGACTGAAAGCAGAAGTTTGTTTTCCTCCGTCAGAGACCAGGATGAGGGCAATTGAACATCCACACTGAACCTTCTCCACCAGGAGGATGGGAATGAAGGAGAAAATATGGATGAAAAAATGATATTTGGATGCTGAATGCAGCCTATCCTCACAGATTCCTTCTGCACGGTTCATCTTCTGTGTTCTCTGTTAGAAGTCCATCAGTTCCCACTTATAGTGCGTTACATTATTTCATTTATGCTTTAAAATACATCAAACTAGAGTCCCATTTTATATTCCCGTACAAAAGTTTTCCTATGCCTTTGTCACTTTACAACCACAAACATTCTCCTCATCTGTCTTTTATGTATCAGACTGACAATACAATTAAGTCCACATCATTAACACCAGACATATATATAAAGCTTGTTTTTTAGGTTTTCACGATTGTCCAGCAGTCCAGGTTGAATCCAATAGAGAAGAGTCTAAAGATCCAAAGATGTGGAGGAGAGCAGAGTTCTTCTAACCTGTGAGACTTAAGCGCCAAAGATAAATCATCAGCCGAAACTTAAAAAAAAACACTATTTAAAATTATTATTTAGGTTATGAATTATTATCAAAATATTTCTTTAAGAAAAATAAATTATTTAGGTTAAAATCCAACTTAAGTTTTGCTTTCAAAAGCAAAACTTAGTTGAATTCCAATTAGATGCCAGGTGTATGAATAATGAATGCCTTTATTTTGCCAGTTTGTCTGAAAAAAAGATCCAGCCCTGTCATAGACGTTTCACAGAGTTGAACAAATTCTGCAGTTTTTATTCAGAATCAGGTCTAGACTGACTCTTCCCATCATCTCCAAGATGCTTCCTTGTACCAGCATGATGCTGCCACCTCTGTGTGTTAGAAGCAGCACAGTTAGGTTAGAAATGTTTCCGTCATTTTGAGATTTGATTGTTTATTAACAAAATATTATGTAACTCTGCAGCTCCTCCAGAGTCACCATCAGCCTCCTGTCTACTACTCGTACTGATGCACTAATTGCCCTTCACTTTTGCAGTTCTGTCCTTTTTTTATTTTTTAAAATAACAGCCCTCTTGGATGTTAAAATACTGGAACATTTTATTGTAACTCTTTTATTTATCTGAACTCTTTCCTTTGTCTAAATGATGCCGTTTATCCTGTAATGTTCTTAGAGTGGCCTTAAATTAAAGGGGTTGAATACAAATGAACACCAGCTGCTCTACCAGCAAACTGGTGATACAGGATGGAAGTTTGGTTGTAATGTGACAAAAGGTGAAGAGGAGCATCTCAAATACATGAGAACATAATGGATGTTACTCTGTTTTAGATCAACGTTTTGTTAGTAAACTCCTCAGGTGTGTCTGTCTGCAGCGAACAGCAGCTGCGTCTGTCAGCTGTGGTTTTCACAGGCTGAGTCATTAATGTCAGGAGGGAAACGGTCAGCGGGCAGATCCTCCCACCCACCACATCCGGTCTGTTTTGACCCTTTTTTCCATGCAGGTTAGAAGCTGCATGTGTTAACAGCAGGAAGATGAGTTTGTGTGAAAGTACAGCAGCGTCCTCATAGAGTCTCATCAAAGCTGTGTCTGAAGCTGACAGGCTGGCTCACATGCATCTCTCAACTCTCCCTCAGAGGACGGTTAGAGTAATTGGATAACAAGCCTCCTCACGCACATCAGCTCAGTTATGTTGCGGTCTGCGGCAGCGTGACTGGGAGTCAAACCTCAAGCGACGACCGACTGTTGAGTCTTTGTATGAGAATTTTATAGCTGCATTTTTCAAGCATATAACATTTTTTTGTAATTTACCCTTTTTTGTCAGAGAAGGGGGGGCGGCGATGCATTAAAGGATTATGGGAACTTTTCCATTTGAACCCTGAAGCTTTCATATGTTTTTTTTTTTTTTTTTTTTTTTTGAAGCAGAGTTGAGAGATAATGTAGCTTCTGTCTTTGAACTGAATGTTTGTTAAAAGATGATTATGTGCTTTATTTTCTGTTTGTAATCTCTATTGTATATTATTGATGTCTAAATATGTAGAGAGAACAGATTTTTAGAGCAGTACTTTTATTTTTTACTATTTGAACCAGCAACTCAGTCCTCCTGTAAATGAAAACTATTTTTTCCCCCTCTGTAATCGAAACGGACTCTGTTCTAAAGGTGAAAATTCTCCTTTATATAAGAAGTGCTACACATTGTGAGCTTATTGGTTTTGATCTGGGACTGGTGAAACGATAACTTGTACAGTTTAGTTTTTTTCTTTTTTGTAAAAAAGAAAAAAATCAAACAAAAAAAAAAAAGTTCAGCATAACTTCTATATTGACATTGCGTTTCTTGTTTTATTTATTCAGATAAAGTTCTTTTTTTTAACTAGTGTCTTAAGGGAAAAAAATATATAACTACAGATAAAAAGCACTCTATGTTTTAACAGTCCCACTCCAGAGACTCTTTTGTACTTGATAGGAAATTTCATCCTGTATAATAAAGTCAACTTTTTGGAAAATTTTCTGTTGTCTTTTTCATGTGATTTAGGAAAATTTGCTTGGTTCTTTTTTGTCAAAGAAGAAAATACATTTAAATTGATAAGACGGTTAGGTCAGACCAGTATGCACTCAAAAAAATCTCTAAGTCATTTTTTCTTAAAATAAGTGAATTGTTTTCTTGAATTAAGGAGATAGGTGATACTTTGCCAATGGAACAAGACAATTTACATTTAAAATAAGAAAAAACAATTGCCCTTCCTTATTTTAAGTGTACATTATCTAATTGTCTTATTTTAAGAGTAAAAATACTCACTCCATTGGCAAATTGTCTTATTTGCCTACTTAAATTAAGGGGAAATTACTTAATTTAAGAATTTACTCATTTCTAGATCGTTGCAGTGTGGATAGATGGAAGTAAAAGCAGTGATGTATAGAGACCTCCTGGATGAATTTTGATCTTAGACTTCCAGGAGAACAAGTGAAAACATAAATCTGAAAGACTGTACTTCTTTACTGCACTGGCCTTCTGTTGCTTTTAAAATAGATTATAAAATATTGTTTGGTTCTCTGGAATAACCTGCCCTGACATATTTGATCTGCTGTATCAGTGGAGATTTAAAAAAGTTTTCTTTCTCTACCTTTCGATCAAGCTTAACATTTCAATTTAAACTTGTGATTTATTTTTCTCTTGGATTCAAAGGACTGTGGCCAACCCCTGGTTGTTTTGAAATTAGCTCTATAAATTAATTTGGAGTTGATTTGATTCATTAGTTTTAAAGGTTAAGGAAACATTTGGACATTTATTATTAGGTAATTAACTGTGATATCACCAGTTTACCTTTGATTTTTTTTCCACATATTTTGTGAAAGAAAAACAGTTATTCCCAATGAGATGCACTGCTTGGAAAGAGACGAAAAAAAATATGTTTTCATAAAATCTTTATTTTCTTTATATGTACACCGCTGGTACTGGTTCTCTGACAAACCTCTGAGGCCTACACAGAACAGCTTTATTTATTCTGAGATTATAATCTAAAACAGGTACAGGCTATCCAGGAGAAGGTGCTAAATAAGAATATTTGTCAAAAGTTTATGAAACTATCTTTTATTTTCCTGCAACTTTGCAATTATGAACCAATTTATGTTGGTTTATTGCATAAAACGCCCTGAGTGGAGAGGTGGGCCCCCGGGGAAGAGGTCGTGACCTTTTATAACGTTCCTGTTATCAAGTCATCCTAAATGACACATGAGGTCATCAGCATGTTTCTCTCTACTCTCCAAGGCCTCCACCTCTTTATCTCCCCACTCAAACCACTAAATGGATCCAGAGACTCTCACGGACGCCATGAGCACCACAGATGACCACAAGCCCACAGACGTTTTTTTTTTTTTGTCAGTTTCTGTTTTTCTGGAGTATTCACACAGGAAGCGTCTCTGAGATATTCCCACCTACCCACCCCATACCCCTCCTTTACATGCTCTGCGATGAGGAATGTCCTCCCGCTGTGATGGCAGCCACAGTGCGGATCGGGCTCCCGTTTCCTGCCCACATTGCTGTTCCCTCCAGCACTGATCGCAGATAGAGGCTGCAGCGGGCCTGGGAACCGACCAGAGATGACGGACATGTGGAACGGGGGTCAGCAAAGCCTTCCTGGAGGACGAGCTGAGAATCTGGCTGTTAAAATTTAATTTCTGCATCTTAGTTATGGGAGCTTCTGAGGGAGGATGGGGATATTTCTAATCTATAAAAAAAAAAAAAACATGATTTTTATTTAGGATTTTCCTACCATCATTATTTTGAAGCTAAGCTAATCTTCCTCTTCCAGTCTTTCTGTACTCTTGCATTTCTCTAATATCCCCTCTGGGTTTTTTTTCCTCCCGAACAGATTCAACGTGCAAGAAAACAGCATCTCGGAAATAAGCTGCTATGAAGGCGCTTCTTTGAGCGTCCAGGTGCGTGGAGGATCAGATTTCTTTGATTAGATTCATGCTCCTCTTCGTCGCTCTGCTTGGACCATCACCGCCTTATCATCATGGAGACAAAAATCAAAGCTAGAGAGAGCAGAAGCTCGCCCAGGGCCAGCTGAAGTTCCTCATCCTTTTTTCTCACTCCTTTCTGCTGCGATTTGTTGCTGCTTCTTAGTCTGGACCTTAACTCCCCCCTTCATAGTGCTCACCAACGGCTTCTGACAAACTGATAAACCATTTCTTTAATTGCATTACTATTCCTTGTAGTCGTGCCAGCCATGCATTCCTAAAGGCCAATGACTGTCATGAAAGGGATTGAGGACAAAACATGTTCAAACTTTTTTTACACCTTGTTATCTGGATTTAATGTCATGGAAATAGCATTGCTTTGAACAGTAAACCATAGATATCCTATGCTGGGTTCATAACGGAAACTATTTACATTGTCGCAATTCGGAGGAGATGAGGATTTAATTTAAAGATGATTTTTTTTGTGCTTTAGATCAGCCTCATTTCCCTTTAGGAAAGTATAACAGTTGGACTCTGGGACTTCATGTACCAGCCATGAATGCATGAAGAGTTTCAATGGAGTTGATGAGATGAGGAGAAGCATTTACATTTGAGGCCAGTTCGTCGTATTGGTTCGTATTGGACAAAATTTCAGTTCAGTTCTTTGGGAACTTTATAAATGGAGCAGATATGGCGCCGCATGGCAGCAGTCCACATGGGAACACATCCATGTCTGCACCATGTCCTGTGTTTATCACAATGCCAAATGGTTAAGTAAGATCAGCAGCAAAGTCTCTTCCCCTGCACCAGGAGGTGACAGTCTCGTCTCTGGTTCACCTACACCTGGAGCGGACGGCCTCCAGAGCTTTCTGGTGTCTCCGTTTGTTGAAGCGTTTGACGTAGTTGCTGCTGCGCAGGAGGCCATCGCCGGGCTTTAGTTTGCCAGCCACAAGGGTCAGCAGGTCATTGGGAAGGTGGCGCCTCCGGTGGAAGATCTGACCCATCACGATGTATCTGGCTCCTGTGGAACAAAGTAGGTGACAGTTTGAGCTGAGTGGGAAGAACCACAGAGAAAACCTTTTATTTTTTAACTATTTTGATTTCACTAAAAATCCCGAGCTCAGGGAACTTGATTTTTTTCACATCCTGCAAAGGAGTGTAGGGAAAAAATGAGAGAAGATGGATGAGTCTAATACTTACCAATACCAATTATATAAAATATAATTGCTTAAAAAAAAACTTTAAAGAAACAGTAAAATATGTGAATGCTAAATTTAAACAAAGTATTTTTGCGGAAAAAGGTGGCTTGTCCCCTTCAGGTTGGAGGAGAGTCCCTGCCTCAAATGGAGGAGTTCAAGTATCTTGGGGTCCTGTTCACGAGTGAGGGAAGAATGGAGCGGGAGATCGATAGACGGATCGGTGCAGCTGCTGCAATAATGCGGACGCTGCACCGGTCTGTCGTGGTGAAGAGAGAGCTGAGCGAAAAGGCAAAGCTCTCAATTTACCGTTCGGTCTACGTTCCTACCCTCACCTATGGTCATGAAATTTGGATCATGACCGAAAGAACGAGATCCCGGATACAAGCGGCTGAAATGAGCTTCCTCCGCAGGGTGGCTGGGCTCTCCCTTAGAGATAGGGTGAGGAGCTCGGTCATTCGGGAGAGGCTCAGTGTAGAGCCGGTTCTCCTCCACATCGAGAGGAGTCAGTTGAGGTGGCTCGGACATCTTCTTCGGATGCCCCCTGGACGCCTCCCTCGGGAGGTGTTCCAGGCACGTCCCACTGGGAGGAGGCCCAGGGGACGACCCAGGACACGCTGGAGAGACTACGTCTCTCGACTGGCCTGGGAGCGCCTAGGGCTTCCCCCAATAGAGCTGGAGGAGGTGTCTGCGGAGAGGAGAGTCTGGGAGTCTCTGCTTAGTCTGCTGCCCCCGCGACCCGGTTTCGGATAAAGCGGGAGACGACGAGTACGAGTATTTTTGCATAATCAGACATTTACAGGTTTGTAAAGCTTCTTTACAGTCAAAAAGTAGAGCATAACTGTAATAGTATAGTATATAACAGTATATATAGTTTTTCTATGTTTTTAGCTTTTTGTTCCTTAAAATCCCTAATAAAACGGAGCACAGCAGCTCAGAGGTTTATTACATAACATTATTAAACAAGCAGCATCATTAAAGGTATAGAGGACGATCTTTTATTTCTAGGTGGATCATCTATGTAATTGGTCCTCCTAGTTGTCAATCATCCTTGTGATATGTTTACATAAGGCCGTCCTACGTGCTCATCTCGTTAGCCATCTTTTTCTGCGCATGCGCACTTTCAAGCGTATCTGTAGTGAGCTACAGTTTCAGACATTGAAGGTCACCTTTCTCACAGTGGTTCTTGGAAAATGGCCGAGGGTCATAGGAAAAAAAGTGTCTATGAAGTGTATGAGGAGAAGGGATATATAGATATATCCAAGAATGCTTTGCACAGATAGCGCTCCTCGCAAAGCATTATGGGGTTTGCTGTCACAGTGGCCCGCTGTCGCTACCCGACAGCGGCGACTAATAAAGATGGCGCAGGCACCACACGGTGGGGGAGGAGTTACGTGACCAACGTGGCAAAAAGCAGCGATCATCTGTCCAAACAGGACGGTAACTGAGTTCACTATAAAGTCCACTATATAGTCCCCACCCTATATAGTGACTGAGGGATTTAGGGGTTAGGGTGGATGTTCGGACACAGTAAGCTTGTATGAGCTATGAGAACAGTAACTTTTAAACAGAGCATGCACAAGAAGAAATGGGCTTGTGCACGCTCTCGCACACGTTAAATAGGCGTTCCCTCTTGGGAGCGGGTACAGAGTTGTTCAAGTGGAGAGGACGGCTCTTTTAAAACATTTACAAAAATCCTCCACAATATAAGACCCAGGCAGACAAGTGAGGGGAAACATTTAAGATCAGTTTAAACTGGGTTTAGTTACAAAACAACATCCCAAACATCATACGCCTCATAGAGCTCTGTTCTGTCTAACATTAGAAAATGTAGAGAACATGAAACAGCTCAAACAATCGAGGCCGACCTCCTGTAAATCTGGAGGAGCTGCAGAGATTTAAACCTCTAGTGGATGAGATTGTTACATGGCTCATGGTGACATGTTCCGTCAGGTTTAGTTTTCAAAGAGGAGTTAAAGGAGGAAACAGATGTAGGAAAGAAACAGTCTCTAAAACCCATTTAAATGACGCAGCACAAGAGGAGGAACATTATCTGGTACCAAAAAGATAGAAAACTATCCCTCATGTCATTCCAAGCAAACCTCCAACAAGATGATTCATGCTGTGGGATTCATTATTTCAGCAAAGACAGGAAAACTGTAATGACCTGATTAGATGAACAGAGAACTTAGGAAGAAAAACCTCCAGAAGAGTTAAACTGAGGAAGAAATTCACCTTTCAGAAGGATGAAAAATGAAATATATGATCAGCAACCAGGGGGAGAGACATGCGGCAAAGGACCACAGGCCGGATTCGAACCCCACCAGTCGCCCACCTCAAGGACTAAAGGCCTCCATAGATAGGTCGTGCACGCTAACTACTGCACCACCTGCACGCCCAGTAAAGCTATTTTCAAAGAACGGTGAAAGATTTCCATTTTTAGATATGTAGAACTTGCAAAACCATCCCAAAAGCTGTAATGGGTGCCAAAAAAAATATTCTGAAGTTGGGCCATAAATCATATAAATTTTGGACATTGGAGATCAATATCCATGCTGATATTAACTTTGATCATTAATTGAGGAAGATGGAGTTGGATATGCATCACCAATCACCAACTTCTGCAAACCCCCCAGAGGATCACACTGGTAGAGACATCTTCATGGAGCCACAAGCCCAGGACCAGAATCTGCAGACCGATCAAGGGCTAAGTGGACCTGGTGACTAACTTCAGAATAGGGATCCACGATATTGGGATTTTGGCCGATATCCGATATGCTGATATTTTAAAACTCATGTGGCCGATAACCAATATCGATACCGATGTTAAAGCTGGACAAAAATAAGTAGTCATTGAAAATAGCAGTTTTGTTATCCTTTCAGACACTTTGAAAAATAATATACTCAAATATATTTTCATATGCTGATATGAAATTGATTTTTAAAAACGCGGTATCTATTTTACTTTCAAAATCTCTTGAAATTTCATTGTTCTGTGACAAACTCTCGTGATATTTTGCAAATTCTTGTGAGATTTTGTTAGTAAAATAGATCGATACCGCGTCAATATATCAACATATAAAAATATGGCAAAATTTCGTGAATTTTCGGGGGATTTCGAAGCATAACGATGACATATAGCAATATTTCATTAGTAAAAGAGATTGATATGGTGTTTTTAAATGGCAATATATCAGCATATGAAGATATTGTGATATTTTAATGTATCAATATTTTTTCCCTCGTCTTTAGAAGTTTTTAAGTCTGTAAAAAAGTTTTTGAGGAAGAAGAAGGAGTTTTTTTTTTTTTTTTTTAGACTTTAGAAACTCAGAAGCTGATCAAATATCGGGTTAAATATCGGTGGGGGGGCCGATGTCCGATATTCAGTTTTAAGGCCGATACTGGCCGATACCGATAGGGGGCCGATTATATCGTGCATCCCTACTTCAGAACCAAACTGCTGCAAAACCAGCATTCTGCAACATTTCTCTATGAGATCTGGGGAACTATGAGACCAGAGGACGTGGATCATCTGAGAACAAACTCTGCTGCAGGCCTGATATGCTAAACTGCTGAAGTCTAGAGACAACTCAACCTTTTCTAAACGGAGATCAGAAGAGGTTGCCGGTCTGGCAACGTTAGGGAAACAGTTTCCAGCTTAACTGTTTATTTTTTGATGATTTTTGATCATTTAATGTGTTTACTGTTGTGAAAGACAACATGCTAACATGTCTGAGCTGCTGTTCCTAAAACTAAAACAAACTTGGTTTTAATAATGATTAAAAACACTAATATAATGTTAAAGTTTGTGTTTTCTCAGATGCTCATCACACTATTACCAAAATATGACCAAAGGTCATTTAATGGGAATCCTCATGTCTGCCAACTACTAGCTCAATCAAAGAAGGTTAAGAATCAATTGATTAAGCATATAATGAATGAAGCATTGTTTTCCAAATAATGTCTTATGTACTTCTCAGATTAGAAATGTGAATTATTTTGAACAGCTTCCAAGAGCTCTAATTTAGTTGAAAGCTAATTTTTTCCACATAAACTTTGGTTCTTAAACATAAAATCCATGCTGAACTGAGATATTATTGCGTCATTTTATTGATCATGTCTTTCAATCATGAGTTTCTCTGTGTACATATTAGCTTAGTTTATTTGAGTTTCACTAGTTTGTCAAGAATTTTTAATTTAAATATGTTGGAATTTGAGATAAATTATTCTTTGTTGATAAACTGTTATATTTTGAAAAGATGTTTTAGCAAATTTATGTCATATATGTGGAAATTTATACGTATCTATCCCTACTGAGGTGGGCATTGAATGTATCATAATTACATAACAGCACATTATTAGAAAAGCTGGGTAAACACAAACTCTAGATACACTCCCCAGATATTTATTTGTAAGGATATGTCAAAGTTGAGAGGGTATAAATTGTGCGGTGTTGTAATTGTAATTGGGGCGACAGTGGTGTCGGATGTCGGATCGAGTTTGTCCTGCAACTAGAGGGTTGTCGGTTCATGACCCGGCACCACCAGTGTTGTTTCCTTGGGCAAGACACTTCACCTGCATTGCCCGCTAATGATGGTCAGAGGGTCTGGTGGCGCCAGTGTACGGCCGCCTCACTTCTGTCAGTGAGCCCCAGTGCACCTGCAGGTACAATGTAGTTTGCCACCATCAATGTGAGAATGGGTGAATAACTGAATGGAGTGTAAAGCGCTTTGGTTAAGTCCACTGACTTGGGAAAAAAAGGTAGGCAGCAGCTTGACAAAGCCATGATGGCAATGATTTTACATCCAAGTAGTATGCAGTTCTTCATATATACACACACACACCACAGTATAAACAGATGGTATCAACCAATACTGCACAGCCAGGCAAAAAAATGGCATTGGTGTGACACTAATTGTAACATAATTAAAATTCCAACTAATTTACTCTCCAAAATATCTTTGAGGCTGATAACCACCAGAGTGATCTGATTATAATCCCAAAAACTGACTTAAGAGTAATGGTAGAATGAATTCATTAGACAGAAGACATATTTGTCTTAGATGTGATTTCTCACTCACCAAGCTTGAGATCAGGGCAGGGCTTACTGCACTTGTAGGTGTCCAATACCAGGAGGCGAACCTTGAAGAAGAAGCTGTCTGGAGTCACATAGAGACGACTCATCTTGTAGAAGCCGTCGGCGCTGACCATCAGCGTAATCAATCGAACTCCTTTCCTCAACACATCAATATCGTGAACGATTCCGTTGACAGCTGCTCGGAAGAAGAGAAAAGTTTGATTAGACTTTTTTTTTTCGCCCCCACCAACGTTCCATTTTGTGTCTCTGCTTCTTTCAATCACTTAAAAAAATACAAACATAAAATATATTTCACTTTAATGAGACTTGATTATCTATTTAAATGTTTCTTTTTCACATTTTAGTGTTGCTTTTCCTTTTTTTTTAAGAATTACTTGGAGCAGTTAGACTAACTACTGTTAGTAAAACAAGCCAGAACCACGTCTCTCTTTCTTGATTAAACCTCTAAAGCCCGTGTTCACAAGGATAGACGCAATCCTACCATAGATTTAATGAGATTAGAACTGACAAAGGAGTTAAACAATCTCAGACATTCCAAATGAGCTTCACACTGTATGTGTGGCAGCCATGTTGGATTTTAAACTCTGGATGTAGCTGTCAGGGTTTGGTTGAGGTTTTAAGGACCCAAATGCAGAGGCGGTGAAGCAGAGGATAGTTGTTGTAGTTTTGAGTTCTCAAGAAGAAGAACAGAGACAAGAATCCACAAATCCAACACACGCACAAAAAAAAACAGAACCACTGAGACATCAGGGAAAATATGCACGAGGAGCCAGCGAAAGACGAGGAACCAGCACAGAGGAACTGCACAGAGAGAGTATTTATGGGAGACTAATGTGCTGATTGGGAGCAGGTGTGAACAGAGGCCTCTAGAAGGAGCTAGGGAAAAGGAGACCAATAAAAGAGGCCAACAGAGGGCAAGCAAAAAAAAAACTAAGAACTCAAATACATCCAGAAAACACCAATAAAGCTTGAAAACAAAGAAAAACATACAGTAGATCAATGTGAAACTGAAAATTCACTGAAAACTCAAGACCATGACAGTAGCTTTTTACTTTTTTTTTTTTTTACTTTTTCCCCACTGAAGTTTATGTTTACTTAAAAGTTGTTCACTTATCTCATCGACTGTTGGTAAATGAAGTGGGATTCACGTGTGTAATTTTTAGGTGAAGTAAAAACATTATGAACCAACATAGATGGTTCATAATATTTTCTTTTATTTGCAATTATACAGATTTTCACTGTTTTTATTGTTGTTTTGTGTCTAGAATGTTTCCTATGAACGGATTAGGGCAAAATGAGTAAATGTAGAGATTTGTTTTTAAGAGATGGTTTCATTTAAGAGTCTTAGAAATATATATTAACTACCCTTGACTTCGGAGGGGAAATAGATCCATAAAGCTGAGTTTATTTTTTATAAGCTAGAAATGTTCCCGACAGACCAGGGGAATCAATAAATCACTAAAATAGAGCTTTTCTAAAAGATGGGCTAAAAGATCAAATCATTTAAATATGAACCTTTCCTCGGCTGAACTATCAGAATGACTCCAAGAGAGCATCTTAGATTCTTCAAGAAAGACTAAGGTCTTCCTTGAAGCATCAAGGTGCTGTGTTTTACCAATATCCATGGCTTTCTCTCTTTTTTTCTTCTCAGGTTAAATAAACAGGCAGCAATTATATTGAATTCAAAAGAAAAAAATAAATTACTTTTAGATAAGAGAAAAAATCTAATGTAAATGTGGGGCTTAATGTATCTTTTTAGACTTAGATTTATTTTGTCATTTTGTATATACGAGTGAATACAAAAAATGTATTTCGTTTAAAACAGCTTAACAGACTTCTAAATGTCTTCTTTTATAAGATTTACAACCATTTAGAAAAAAAAAGGAAACAGCAGACAAAAATGTTTTGGCTTTTTTTTTTTTTACGTTTTTTCACAACTCTCAGGATCTTACGACGGAGTATTAGGGCCACACATGAAGAGAAAATTTTTTTTTGACATGACGAGATTAAACTCAACACGTCGACTTTAAAGTCGACATGTCGACATTAAACTCAACATTTCGAGAATAAAGTTGAAATGTCATGTTGAGTTTAATCTCGACGTGTCGACTTTAAACTCGCCCTGTCGACTTTAAACTCGCCATTTCGAGAATAAAGTTGAAATGTCATGTTGAGTTTAATCTCGACAAAGACTACCTTCACTCTTAAAACGCAGACTGCAGCTGTGGAGCGCGGTTGCTCTTTTCTCCAAACTTTGGAATGTCGAGATTAAACTCGCCACGATATATCAACTTTATTCTCGAAATGACGAGTTTAAAGTCGACACGTCGAGATTAAACTCAACATGACATTTCAACTTTATTCTCAAAATGTTGAGTTTAATGTCGACATGTCGACTTTAAAGTCGACATGTCGAGTTTAATCGCGTCATGGCAAAAATATTTTTTCTCTTCATGTGTGGCCCTAATACTCCGTCGTTGGATCTTCATTTTAGGTGTTGGTTTAAATTTGATTGGTTTAAGTTTGCCATACTTCCTTATTTTTGCCGTTTTGGGTTTGCCATATAAGTTGCCAGGTGTTTTCTAGTTTATTTCTCTTGTGCAATTCTTGGTGATTTAGTTTTGTCTTTATTTAATCATTATATTGGTATTTTTGAAAAATTACTCCCATTAATTTATCATTAATTAATAATCCCTCCCTCAGGCAGAGCCTTCTGCCAATTAGTAGATTCCTTTCACTTTTGTCTCATAGCTGACCTATTTTTTTTTTTACCTATCTCCCTCATTGTTTAAGGCTTCATTTTGTTGTCAATATCCAGTGGGTTCTCAGTTCTAGGCCATGTTTCCTTCCATGTCCTCTTCCATTATCTCTTTTTTTCCTTGCCTCAGTTTCTTTATTAAATTTTTATTCTCAAATTTCTGCTTCCGAGCGTATTTTTGCTTTAGTGTTGGGCAACACATTATGACAAAAAGCAGTCACACTATAGCGACTGTGTCGCAGGTACAGCAAACAGTGAATGCTTGGTAAACAGGTAGGGTTCTATGGAGGCAATTCTATGGAGTGAAACAGAGTAAAAGCTCAGATGGAAAAATCTATTTTCACAAGATTGGTTTGAATAACTTTTTTTTTTCAATTTGAATAAAAAATCTTGGGGAAAAAAAATAAATTTTGTTTTTTTCTTTGACATTTAAACACAAAAAAAAAAAAAAAAAAAAGCAAAACCAGAAGAAAACTGTGAGTTTTTAAATATTTCTTGACATCTCTTGTTTACTTACAAATGTAATTTTGCGAAAATACAAAAACCAAGCAGTGTTGAACTATAATAAAAAAAAGTGTTCATTTAAGATCACATTTTTCTCATGATACAAAAAAAATGCACTTTATAGAATTTGGTCAGAATGACCTGAGTATGTAAAGCCTATAAATAATCGTCCACTCCCACTAGCCTTATTTTATGATACAATAATGTGCTGTACCAAAGTATGTGGTTCTTTTTACCTCTCTTCTTGTTTATTGAAATCTTTTTCTAATTTACTGCTGTTTTCATGATTTTCTGTTTTTTTGCAACAGGCTACATGCTTTAATTATCAGAAAAAGAAAAAAAAAATACAAACAAATACAACTGCACTGCAAGAAAAACTGAAATCTAAGCAAATATTCCTTAAAATAAATGCATTTTTTCTTGAACTGAGAAAGTAAAGGTAGAGTAATACTATTTACATTTAACACTGCAGTTTCTTGTGTCTAGTGCATGATATCTACCGGTAATTATATAGTTTTAAGACAAAATATTCATTCCAGTGGCAGATCATCTTTTTACCAAATAGAATGATACGTAAATACACTTATTTTAAGAAACTCTTACTAAGTTTCAGATTGTTTCTGCAGTGTAAATATAGAAAATATAGAGGAATATTACAGAAAGGACAACAGGACCCCCTGACCACCTTTGTGTTACGTACCAAACTCACTGTAGCAGTAATATTCCCTCTCATCCTTCTCCTTTCTGCACTCGCTCATGCAGAAGGCATCGTGTGTGTAGTCAGACTCTGTGGAAAAGAGAAATGCAGCAGATACAGAGTTTGAGAAATTTAATTCCTGAAGCTTTTCAAGCAACAGAAAATATTCTGTAGAAAAACCCCAAAAATCGTCTGCAGAGTAAAGAGAGAAATCCTTCCAGTCATCAGTTGAATCGTGGCTTTTTAAAAAGAGGTAGACTGAACTTTAATTGTAAAAGACAGTAGGCTTTTTATTGTAATCTCTAAATATGTTAATTTGTTGTTTCCTTATTGTGTAAATTCTTATCAATTTAGCTAATAGACATAGTGATTTTTAATCGTAGAGGTTTAATAGTAGGGATGCACGATATTGGGATTTTGGCCGATATCCGATATGCCGATATTTTAAAACTCATGTAGCCAATAACCGATACCGATGTTAAAGCTGGACAAAAATAAGTAGTCATTGAAAATAGCAGTTTTATTATCCATTTCTGACACTTTGAAAAATAATATACTCAAATATATTTTCATATGCTGATATCAAATTGATTTTTAAAAACGCGGTATCGATCTATTTTACTTTCAAAATCTCGTGAAATTTCATTATTCTGTTACAAACTCTCCTGATATTTTGAAAATTCTTGTGAGATTCTGTTAGTAAAATAGATCGATACCGCGTCAATATATCAACATATAAAAATATGACAAAATTTCATGAATTTTCGGGGGATTTCGTAGCATAACGATGACATATAGCAATATTTCATTAGTAAAAGAGATTGATATGGTGTTTTTAAATGGCAATATATCAGCAAATGAACATATTGTGATATTTTAATGTATCAATATTTTTTCCCTCGTCTTTAGAAGTTTTTAAGTCTGTAAAAAAGAAGCTTTTGAGGAAGAAGAAGAAGTAATATTTTTTTTTTATTTTTAGACTTTAGAAACTCAGAAGCTGATCAAATATCGGGTTAAATATCGATGGGGTGGCCGATGTCCGATATTCAGTTTTAAGGCCGATACAGGCCGATACCGATAGGGGGCCGATTATATCGTGCATCCCTATTTAATAGTTCAGGGATTTGGTTAGAAGATATGTGGAGGACCTTTAATAACACAGAGGTCATTGTTCAGGATCAGGGAACAGGTCTGGCCTCTCCTACCTCTCTTCAGGACGTCAAACTGGTAAAGCAGGCTGGAGGAGCGTCGGCTTAAAAAGACTGGTGGGCGACTATTATTCCAGGCTGCTGGGAGGATTCCAGATTGGAAGAGGCCGGACCTTCCAGGCCGGTTCTCCTCTGGGTCCTGCTGTCGGTTGGAGGGGTCTCTGCGTGGGGAAGAAGGTGTTTGATGCGGTGCCTGAGCTGGAGTCTTGGGTTTGGAGTTTGGGTGTCCGTGCAGTTCCTCCTGCTGAGGAGGGGTGATGTGGGTCTGGGTGTCCTGGTTGGTTTTCTGCGCTGTACGGTTGGTGCCAGCGTTGATGGATCCTGTGATCTGGGTCTTGGGGAGGAGACCGGCAGCTTCCCCTCGGTTTTTCTCACTGTTGTGCTCTGTCAAACGATCACTCTTGTGGCCCTTTTTGCTCTTGTTGTTGGGGCCGTGGTGGCGAAGGACAGGGTCCAGGTTGCCGTGCTTGGGCCATGCGGCGGGTGGTAAAGGGTGGAAGTTTAGTTTAGACTCAGTAGTCTGGCTGCTTTTCTCCAGAAGCTCATTGATGGGCAGGGTGGGCTCTTTAACCAGGAGCCTGCTCTGGTTGCTTGGAGCAGCTTCCTTTTCTTTCAAGGTGTACAGCTCTAAATTCAAAGCAAGCAGGACTTCAGCTACAACATATCATAATTCAAACTGATCCTACTCCTGATATCAAGAAGGTAGTTTTCCCTTGCTAAATTGTGACGTTCTCATTCTCATCAGTTAATCGTTTTTTCAATGCTTTTTGTTTGGCAGGAACAATGCCAAAAAATAGGGTAAGGAAATCTAAATAAGTCATTTTTTCATAAAATAAGTGAATTTTGTCTTGAATTGAGAAGATAAGTGAGACACTTTCGCAAAGGAACAAGACAATTTACATTTAAAATAAGAAAAAGCAACTGCATTGTCTTATTATAAGTGCATATTATCTAATTATCTTATTTTCAGAGTAAAAATACTCATTCCATTGGCAAATCATCCCATTAACCTACTAATTTTAAGGGTAAATACACTTGATTTAAGACATATTTTACTTGTTTCTAGATTATTTTTGCAGTGCTGATCTTTCTTTCTTCCTTACTTGAATGTGAAAAATAGGTGTGCATCAAGGCGCTATATTTGGACCGCAGTTTTCTATTTTTTACTAAAACTTGGCATTGCTCCATATAGCTGCTACATCTTTTAAATGATGCATCCAAGCTTATGTGTTTGAGAAATAGAATATTAACAAAAAAGAACACTAGGATCTTAAAATATCTCTCATCATTCTGGTTTTAGGAAACAGCTATCAATCACTGCTACCACCTATTTTCCATATTATCTTATGGCAGCTTTAAATGTTAACGACAGCTATGGACTTGTGAAAAGTATTTTAGGGCAAGAATCATAAGATCTTAAGATCTATTTACATTGAAACGTAAATAATATTTTTTTTCTTTAAATAAGTGCATTTGTTCTTCAATTGAGAACTTAGGTAAGACACTTTGCCAGTGGAACAAGACCATTTACATTTAAAATAAGAAAAAACATTCTTATTTTAAGTGCATTTGACCTAATTATCTTATTTTAACAGTAAAAAAACTAATTCCGTTGGCAAATAATCTAATTTAACTGCTCAAATTAAAGGTAAATACACTTAATTTAAGACATTTTTACTTATTTAATTTACTTATTTTTACTTATTCAAATATTTTCTACTGACAACCCAAGCGGAACATAATGATATGTCTCCTGTGTTGTCAAATTGACTCTATCGAGCACTATCTTTAACCAACTGGTCTTTTTCTGAGCCAAATATCCATAAACATTTCCCTCCAGGCTTTGTATTTGGACTAACACCTATGGAATTTTTTTACAATGATGTGGGTTGGAAAGTTAACGCCTTTCTCTATCTATCAATTATTTTGCTGATTATTCTTAACGCCAACACAGTTTCCTTGGTTTTTGATTATCAGTTGGTTCCATTTGACATATTTCTACCACATTTGTTTTTTTCTCTAGCTGGTAACAAACACTGAAAATATTACACTGTTTGATGGTAAATCTATACTGTTCTGCCAGCTTGTTTTTTTGTCCACACATGGTACTCCATTGTAAGTAAATATCTTAGCATTTTAGCTAATGACATTTTTTTAAAGTCGGATATTCAACTATTTTAAAGAACTCAAATTAGAACCCAGAAATTATTAAGAATTATTAAGTAAAAGGTAACTTATTGCAGACACCTTCTGGCCTCACATTGACAATTAAGTCTTTATCTACACTGGAATAAATGATCTAGAAATAAGTAAAAAAATTTCTTAGATTACGTGTATTTTCCCTTAATTTGAGTAGGTAATTGAGACACTTTGCAAATAGGATGAGTATTTTCACTCTTAGAATAAGATAATTACATAATATGCACTTGAAATAAGAGAATACAATTATTTTTCTTATTTTAAATGTAAATTTTCTCGTTCCATTGGCAAAATGTCTCACTTTCCTTCTCAATTCAAGGAAAATATGCACTTATTTTAAGAAAAAATTACTTATGTAGAATAAATTTATTTGCAGTGTAAGTAAACACTCACAGTGAGCAATATAGAGCATTGACATTTATCACTATGTTACACTTGAAGGCTAACGGGCCTCATTTTTTCAACATTAAGGTTGTTGCAACAGTATTTTTCATGCACCAATAGAAGCTTGTTGTTCTACCACTGCAAAAAGCTTAATTTCCTCGAATAGAGCTTTTATTGTATTTATTGTTCAGTGATTAGAAAAATGTTGTCCACTAGTTGCCTTTGCAATTAGGACAAACTATAAAGACGTGCAGCTTAATGTTGCTGAATGCCTTTAAAGATATATAAGAAAAAGTAGACATTTTTTTGTTTATATATTGAAAATGCTGTTAATATGTTGTATAAGATCATTATCTGTTAGTTTACTAGAGTCCAACTTTTTTTTCTTATAATTTGTTATTTTTCTTTTTAACAATATATTTATTTTGCATATTTTTAAATCAGGTTTTCTTTTAAAAGTGACAAACTTTGTTCCAATTGAATAACAAAAAGACAGAAATAGTTAATTCAGTTTTATTTGGATGCATTTTAAGAGAAGCTTTCAAGGATATGCTTTTATAATGTTTTACTATAAAATCCTATGAGAAGGAAAACAACTAACTGATTTAGTATTAACAAATAATATTGCAAAAAAACAATATACCTGTATTTACTCACCATTTAGGACTTGCTCCTCTGTGTCATAAAGAGGGAAAAGCAGAAACAAAAGAACCAGAGTAATTCCTGTCATCTTGGTGGAATCAGTTTTGGACTCACTGCTCTGTTTGTTCCCAGGTTGGGATTCCTGGGATTATATAGGAACGCTCCGGGAGCGGTTGGGATGAGGTGGAATGGGAGGGTGTGGGCTGGACCAAACAGGGACACAGACTCTTTCACAGGACACTCCTTCCATTCGTGCATAATTCAAAATAAACCAACACAGCCCACTGGGTGAAGAAAATAAACATAAAATAAGGTTTATAAAAAAGGTTTCCTTTAGTATTTTTGGTCAGAATAAACTCTTAATCATTCTGTCCAAACATTTTTTTAAATTAACACTTGTTCCTTAACATTTATACAAACTGCACCATGCAACATAAGAAGAATGTTTTAGTAGGTGTGTGATTTAAACTGAGTAAAAATGGGTATTCACTGCCCCCTGGTGGTCCAGAGAAGAAGAACATCTGCATGATGTTTTTTTCCAGTGCAGCGGTATTCTACAAAAAACATCAATCTGCATAAGAAATCTAATTTATCATTAAAAACACTTTGAAACATACGCGTTAAGATTAAACAGATTTTAACCCGTGCGTTTATTAGATAGTGCTTAACCTGTGTCTTAGCTCAGTGATTAACTGAAAATGATTCTATATTGCAAATCTAATTATTTGCAAGATTTGCAAATGCATAATAAGTATGGATGCACAGAGGAGCTGCTGGAAATTAAATTAATCAATTTAATCAGCAAGGCTTTGTTAGATAGTTTAGTTAGAAAAGGAATTTGATTACAGTGTATTATAACTGGACTGTATGAAGCTGAAACATTAAAATGTCTATATGTATGATTTGGATTGGATCTTCCAAAGTGTTTTGGAACATGGGTTATTGTGACCAAATTAAACCATAGAAATGTTATGAGAGCAAGAGAGTGTGGTATATTGATGCATAGATGCATGAAAACTCACCTTTAATAAAAAACGCTATCAACTAAGAAAATTTTTTTTTATCAAGTTCTTTTCTTTCACCGAGGGATAAAACGATCAAATTATTAGTAAATAGAAAATGGAACTTCCATCGCATGAATTCACAAAAGAGAACTAAAGACGACCCAGATGGGACTCGAACCCACAATCCCCAGCTCCGGAGGCTGATGCCTTATCCATTAGGCCACTGGGTCATTACATGATCGAACGCGAAGGTCTAAATTTCTATAATCAGAACGATCGGGTTAATATGTTACTTATATGTATTTATGCTTATAACAGTTGTCTTTGATTGTAAACAAGCGTAGCCTTCCTAATATTGCGGTGCGGGAAACGGTTAAAACAATGAACGCCTCTTTTTTCCGCCATGCCACTGAAGTTAGTATATGGATAAGAGCTGAATAGAGGAGAACGATTTCATATTTTGGCCTTTAAAATGGTTTGTATTAAAAGTTTTAGAAATTACAATCAGTTTAAGCTTTTGTTGTATTAAGAGGATCACATTTTTTCATCTGCTAGATCAAAGGTCTGCAACTTTGGCTTTGGGGCTCACTTAATGCACTAAACAAAGCACTCATGTTTTTGAGTGTTTTTTATTCTTTTTGTTATCCTCTCATTAAAAAGAACCGTCACGATATCTAAACAAATGTACCAATTTGTTATAGCTACATTAGAAACTGATTATAACGTTTGTTTAATCGTTAAACATTTGTTGATCAATGCAGCATAATTTGGTACTAGTATGACAGGTTTTCAAACTAATTTTAAAGGAATGTCAGGCCAAATTAATAACCCAACAAGCCTAATATTCCTCAATGTTTTTGTTTTTACATGTCAAATAAGAACCATTGTGAATTAAAGTCTGTTTTAAACAAGAAATATAACGCATCTAAATCAAAGATAAATAATAAATAGTCAGGCTACGAATGGAGCACTAACTTCTATAGCATTCTGCTTCCTAGTGTGGGCGGGGATTTTTTGCAAAGCTGACCAATCGAAAACCAGAACACCCGGTTTACGCGTTTGACGTCATTATTATTGTTTTTCTTAAAGTGGGCACTTTGCCCATGTCAGTTGCTGGTAGACCTTTTGGAACTAAACCAGGACTATGTATTTTCTTTTTTATATTTATTTTTTATTGTTTTATTTAGGTAATTTCTTTTGACACTAATTTACATGGAGGGCTTGACTTGAGGGACACATGCTCACAGGGCTGTCAACTCTCACCCACTGGGAGTGAGACTCACCCATCTCAGTGTCTTCACACGCTCTCACTCCATATTCCCAATTTCTCACACTAAAAAAATAAAACTCATCTCCGTTCCATTTATTTACGTATAAAAATACCATGGAGATCAAAATCCCATCTGCATTATTAATACGACCTTAGTGCTCACACATAATGACATGCCAGGTTCATATCCAGTCCATATTCCCACCTATTCACTGTGCCAGATATTGAAAAAGCTAGTTGTTACGATTTATGTAATTTTTTATCTTATCTCATCTGGACTAGGATAATACTATTTGTAAATTATTAGGTTTCAGGTATTACAGGAGACAACCGCCCCCCCCCCCCCCCCCCCCCCAATGGCAATCGCCCCTTTAACGATCGACCCCTAGAATCACAGACAGGTTCAGATATTACAGGCTAACGATGGAACTAAACGACCCATTCATCGGTTACCATTTGCATGTTTCCAAGCGATACAAGGCCTTGTCCATATAAGACTCAAACTCACTGCGGATCCAGACATTTGAATTGAGAAAGCTTCCTGGAGAGGTGGCGAAACGTCTTCAAATCTTGAAAACCAAGTCCAGTGGATATTTTTTGATTTTTTACGGAAATCTAATTGACTGCAGGTTTGTCTCTCAAACCCATAGGAGCTCCACAAATAGAAAAACAACCATTGCATTTTATTTTTCAAAAGATCAGCAAGCAAAGAAAAGACCAACCACATCCAGACTTGGATGTGCAGAATAACTCAGTTATCCAGGATTCATAAAGGGAGAACCACTCATTTGTCATTTTATTATTACCCATCTTATTAATGTATCCTTTCTTTTTTTTTTTTCATTGCTGCAGGCCTCATCCCAAAATTTGTAGAGTTTCTGTCTGAGTTACATTCCCCTTTCTAGCAGTTTGTTGCTGCCTGTGCCCTCACTGACATTGCATCTGGGACCTCAGATCAGACGGCAGCGATAGTGGAGGCAGGGGCCATCCCAGCCCTCATCAGGCTGATTTCATCACCTTACAAGCACATCAGTGAGAAGGCCATTTGGGCTTTGGGCAACATTGCAGGTATGGTGGACTTAAAGAGGGATGTTACTATTGCTGTGGTGGTCCACGCCCATATTTACTAATAATATATACATTATATTGAGTTCCCTACTATTTCAACACATTAAACAAAAACTAAAAATGACCTCTGCTTCAGTTCAATATCCCATAATCCTGTGCTGCATACAGAAATGTCAACAAAAGGGAAAAAACATCGGTTATCAATATTTGCCAAGTTTTATTTTTTGGACCAATGCTTTAAAAAGGACTTACAGTAGTGATGTGACATGTCAAGCATCCCTAAAAAGATATAAAATCCAGTCTGCAGTGGTTTTAATGTACCAGTTTTATCACAATGCGAAGTTATATGGATCTGTTTGAATGGCGATACAGTGTTTGTCCGATCACAAAATTCGTCACAATACGATTTCCATTCAGTTGTCTGTGATCGGTATGATGCTTCAGCATCTACACCTCTAACAAATCTACTTACATTATATCATATCACACACACTAAAAAACATTAAAACAATTTTAACATTTTATGTTTAAGCTGTTAAAAACATCAGGCATTTGAATAAAAAAAAGCACTCCTTCATATATGAAATAATAAAAATAGCGTAGTTTTTCTTTTGGATTTCAAAATAAAGGCATTTCTTAATGATGATGAAGTGAACGGATGATTTCTTTAAAATCTTCTATCAATTTGCAAGCTTGTCTGGAAGGAGAAGAATATGTTTCCTCAATAAAGAATCATTTTTACAGACTGTGTGATTTTTATCAGGCATGTTTACATGGAGTATTAGAAATAAAAGTGTGTCATATAACCTGCCTCTGATGCAAACTTCACACTAAATACGCACCTATTATAAATAATAAGAGCCTTCACACCGCCTATGACAGTGGTGGCAGTGAGCGGGCGATAAAATTCATCTCCCTTCTGTTTTTGTATGACAGCAACGGCAGACTTTGTCAAGCTACACACATCAAAATTAACCAACATGAAAGCAAATTGTCAAAACATCCATATTTTCCAAACTTATCTAAAGAGAGACTAGATTTTGTGATCCGATTTGGCTCGATCTGAATGGGTTAGTTTTACAAAAGGGAGGGTGGTTTATTTCTATTGTCATTCTGAACCCTGTGCAGGTAAACAGTAGAAATGAAACTGTGGTTCTAATTAAGGCAAACTGACCTGACTGTGAATGCCTCGACCGCTCTAAACATGGAGCGTGTCAATTCAGAACCGCACACTTCCACTATATTTTTGTTAATTTTTTTTTTTTTACAGCACAGGTTAAATTACAAAATCTTCTGGATGATCAGTGATGTTTTAATATAGCGTGGTGCATTTAAACAAGCTTTATTATATCACTTGGATAAGTGAGATTTATTTGAATATGTTCTTGAAATGTTGTGCCTCTAAACATAGGCAGTGTGTGCACTGACCCTAAACCTAGCTAAATTAACTCATAGCTCTCTAGTTTAGTAGTTGTGTACAATTTTTCGCTCTGCAGTTCTCCTGTTTAGACATGACTGAATGGGTCCTCCTTGCTAAATTTAGGTGACGGACCCAAAGGCCGAGACTTGGTAATCCAACATGGTGTCCATCATGCTCTCCTACCCTTGGTTATCTCAGCTGATCTGTCCATATTTTCCATAAGTGTCCCTCAAAAATATAATTTTTCGTTTTGTAGCCAATTGGAATTGTTCAGCATTGCATTGTTCTACCATCTGTCCAGTATTTGATATTAATGTGTGCCATGCTAACAGAGTGCCTACCTGGCAAACATTGCCTGGACACTCGCCAGCCTGTGTCGACACAAGGATCCCCCTCCCCTGGAAGCTGTGCAGCAGATGCACCCTGCTCTGGGGAAACTTCTCCACATTGATAGCAGGCTGGTCCTGGCCGACACCTGCTGGGCTCTGTCATATCTGACGGACGGCTCCAATGAGAGGATTGAGGTGGTAGTGAAGGCTGGAGTTGTCCCTCGTCTCGTACAGCTTCTGGCCTGCGAGGAGTGCTCCATTTTGGTATGCTTAGCTCCTAGTCCTGTAACCTGAGTGTGACATGCTGTATGCTGGAACACAAAAAATGTTGACTCTTATGGTGGGGGGACTCTTATAGCTGGGAACATAGAGGAGGGGGGTTTCACTTGCAGCTGCTAAAATCCAGAAGATAATAGATCCATTGGGGAAATTTTTGAATATGTTTAATTTGTACTGATTCCATTGAAAATGTCAGCCTATGCCTTTTGCTCCATATGTAGCTACTGTCATGTGGAATGCATCATGGGAACTGTAGTATGGAGATTGCCCCATAGGTCACACTAAATAACATAACTGATAACTTCAGAAGACAACAGAGAAAGCCTGAAATAATGGCATATTGCCATTTTTTACAATCACATTTGCAGCACCCTGACTGACATGGTTGTTGTGAGTAATGACCTCTGGTGCAGAACCACATTCACATATTTTTTCAAATACTTCTAGTCGTGATTGTTGAGGGACCTTCAATAGTTCAGTTAGCAGAGGAGGACTGCAGAAACCATTACACGATATCCTTATGCTGTATTCAGACCATTCTAGTTTATATGCAAAGTCAATGGTTGACATGCATCAAGGTGCATCAAAAGTTCTTACAGTGCATTTTGAGCAGCAGGAGCAGTGGGTCGTTAACTTCTGAGCATCTGATGCACAGAATGCGCTGCAAAAACAACAGCTGTTGGAGTTGGATTTAAGTTTTGCTGCTTGACGCTCCACATCAACCAATCAGAGAAGCTGATCTGGGAGCTGGCAGGGAAAACCCGCCAAGAGGCCCCTGGGCCAGAGGCTGCCCTTGAAGGGGATTTCCAGTAAAAACACCACCGGTGCACGGTAATCTGCTATGGCAGGCCATTTTGACATTTGTTGAAAGCGCTGTCATCTCTATCGTTCCATTAGTTGATCTCTAAAATAAGAATCTTCCTGGTCAAAACTACATTCCTACTATTCAAAATGTACATATAGATATCATAAATTAGTTTTTGCCAGCAAAAATTAAATTTCAGGATGCCTATAATATAAGAATAAACTCTTAAATACCTAGAAATCTTTACAATTTTTTAGTGGCCCTTCTGACATGGAAGCTTGATTGAATATATATTTCAGATGTCTCAAATGCATTTCTTCCTTGTCAAAATGAACATTTCAGACATCTAAAATAACATTAGTCCTATCTAAAAAAAAACATTTCACATATCTGAAATGTAATCCTTACTAGTACAAATGACGTCACGCATGGAGAAAGGGAGAAATCGATACATAGAGAGAGATACTAAGGAAACGCTATCTGACAGGACTTATGGACCCATCAGATACCGTTCCCCGCCATGTTAAGCAGGAAGAACGCTATCTGATGGGGTTTATAGGCCCATCAGATACCGTTCCTCCCATGTTAGACAGGTAGAACGCTATCTGAGGGGGTTTAGCGGCACATTTTGATGGCGTAAGCAATGTCTGATTTTATACTCCCTCCTTTTTTTTGCCACCTCCGTACTAGAGACTGATTATTATGGAAATGTTTACACTTCATTCTAGATTATTTTGTCTTATATTAATTTTAAAAGAATTAAACCGGTAATGAATTTATCGCTCAGATATGCCAACACAGGAGTTCCATGGAGCATATTAGGGATGGAACGGTTTATTAAAACCGTCCGAACCGTTCGGTTCGACTGTCTCTGTTCGGTTCGTGTGTGTTGCGTTTGGTTCATGCGCTGCTCCTTTTTCTCATAGGCGAAGCGTGTACACTCCAGAGCAGAAGGTGGCGGTACTGCAACCAAAGCCAACCACCAGTAGTAAACAAGAAGAAGCCGGATATAGCAGAAAAAAATCAGTTGTTGTGGAGAATTGTGTGGGTATGGCGAGTGGGAAAGAACAGGAGTTGGAAGACGCGCCAGCAGCACTTTATAGGTCTGCTGTATGGGACCACTTTGCATTTAGAGTGACCTATGATGACGGCGGAAAGAACATTGTGCAACACGTTTTGTACTATACAAGACATAATAGATTTTCCTAACAATCAACATATACCGAATCGAACCGAAAACCGTGACCAAGAAACCGTGAAACGAACCAAACCGTGGATTTTGTGAACCGTTCCACCCCTTGAGCATATGATTTAACATTTTTTGTTTTGACTAAGTGCTGTTCCTAACTAGTTGTTCTTGTGTGTTTTAGTGTTTTAGTTACTGTATACTCCAGTTAACCATTATTCAACTTCTAAATCAGTTGAAGATGATCTAATGTTACTGTCCTAAAAATGTACGAACCCTGACAAGGCACATTTGTTTCCAAATTATGGATTTATCTCGTTGAAGTTTTATTCACTTTAATCCAAACTAAACACTGACTATGCAGTAGTGATTTTTTGCACTTTACTCATTACTTATTTGTTTTTATTAAATCCTTAAAATAAAGAATTGCTCACACAGTCTTTCACTCATCCTCGTTGGCTGAGCTTCTGTTCTGCAAATAATCGGCTCACTCTTCATCCCTGCTTAGACTCCAGCTCTGAGTTCGGTTTGCAACATTGTGACTGGAACCGATGAGCAGACCCAGTGTGTGCTGAACGCAGGTGCCCTGGCAATGCTCCTGCGCCTACTGAGACACCCCAAACATTGCATCCATAAAGAGGTGGCCTGGACCGTGTCCATCATCACTGCCGGCAAGAGCAGCTGGATTCAGGAAGTTATTGATGCCGGACTGATACCCTTCCTGGTGGAGATCCTTCAGCAGGTCAGATTAAGCTGAACATTCAGGCGATTAGAACTTTAATTTAGTGGAACTATGATGAAATAGTTAGTTATTAAGAATATGAGGGAATTGCTACTCCTGTTATTAAAGACCTCATTCAACTACTCCCTGAAAGGCGGAGATCTTCCACCATCATGACGAGAGGCATTGATCTCAGTCATACCAAAAATGAGGAAAGACAGAACCAACCCTAAAGGGTAAAGGCCAATTAGTGTCTTAAATACAGATTACAAACTATATGCAGCAATATTAGCAAAAAGATTAAGCATTTTGCCTTCTTTGATAAACACACGATAATATAAGAAGGGCCATACATATTATTGATTATATAAGTAAAGAAAATAGAAGCACAGACCTACTCAGCCTTGCTGCCAAGCAGGCATATGATATGGTAGGGTTGGAGTTTCTTTTTCAGGTAATGAAGAAATTTGGGTTCTGTTATATATTTATTCAGTTTATAAGATCAATCTACTCCTCCCCAACAGCAAGAATAAAAATTAATGGGAACCTCTCAAACCAAATAACACTGCAAAGAGGGTGTCTGCAGCGGTTGTAGGGAAACAACTGTTCCAACAGTTGCATTTCCAAATACTCCCAAGTGGTGCACGACTTTATCTTAAACTGTATCCTGTCAAGGATAAAGTGTGAAATATGCTTTTATTCCCTCTCTCCCCCAATGTGGCTCCTATCTTTCCACAGAGATAAAGGCAGCTCTATAGGTAACCGCCTGTTACCTGGGAAACCAGGTAACCGGTGGGAACCTGACAAGCCATAAGAAAGCGCCAAAGGCAGTGTTCTGCGGCACACATGGCCTCAGTAAATCTGTTCCCCCTCTCAGCCCCCCACCCCAATGTATGCAATGTATTGTGATGAACGGTTTGTACTGAAACTGAAATCTCGATTGTATCTGCCTTGCTTAGTGGATTATTACATGTCAGCCCAGATTAGATCCTTAGTGTTCTGGCGTAATCCGAACTACAAGTCTAAATGGAAGAACATTGAGCTTTCTATATTGGACTTTCCTATACAGTAGGGTGACCAAACGTCCGTATTTCCCAAGACATATCCGTATTTCACGTCCTGTTTCGGGCGTCCTGGGTTTTTTTTAGAAAGTGAGGAAGTGTCCTGTTTTTTAAATTACCTTCATTAGACCATTAAATTTACAGGCACTAGGGCACTGCGCACGACGCTGCGTGTGACGTAATCCCTGAGCCGCGTCAGTGTGGGCAGCCCTGTTCTTAATCAGAATCAAGGGCGTAGGTTTGATTTGAACTTTGGTAGGGACACTATTGGTCTGGTGTCATTGGTGCTATGCAATTTGCATGCCCTTTTTTATGCTCGATGTGAGCATCCGTACTGATAAGAGGAATTCATTGTTGAAAGAGAAAAGCAACATTTTGCTTCATTAATAAGCTCTACACTCATTAGATGCTGTTTATCAATGTTTGAAGTATCACCGGCTCTGATGAATGTGGAATTAGGACTGTTTTCCACTTTGAAAACGGTTTCATTTGAACGACTAAGAGAGAAGGTAAATACAGTATTTTCTTCTGAAGATATAGAATTGTGCAGAGTTAAACCCCACTCTAATATTTGTACCTACTATTCTCTAGCAAGCAAAATAATACATTCATTAAAATATTGACTTCACTATAAAAGTTGAACATCTGGGCTGTAGGTACTCTGTGTAGCCCATTTCATGTATTTAATCTGGGGCTGAAAAAATGAATCGTATTAATTGATTATTTCAATAATCGTCAACTAATTTAGTGAGTGATTCATCATTAACTGGAGTATAGACTTTAAAACATACAGTAATATAAATGTAAAATGTGCCTTTCCCCACAGAGCAACCCACTTAGATCAGTTATTATATCAAAATTGTAAAAATAAAAACAAATCCTTAAAATAAAACCCTCACATTTTCTTTTTTAGTTGGCTGTGGCTAAGAATCAGAAATGTTGATGCTTACAGCCTTTATTTGCCCATTTTTCCAGCAGTCTTCAGAACTCCTGGCTGACTCAGAGTATTTCATTTTATAAAAGAAAAAAAAAGGATTTTGTTTTTTAGTGCACATGATAATCATTTTTTTTTATTGGGACTAGTTTTGTAGCCTAATATTTATTGTAGTAACCGCAGCATTCTAGTGTGAATAAATTTTCAATGTTGCGCTCCAAGCACACGCGGACTAGAAAACAGCCAATCAGAGAGAGAGAAGGCGGAACTTAAGGCAGAACAAC